TCTACGATCCGGAACGATATACTTTTCATCTCCAAATTGACGAGTTAATTATCAGTAATTTTACTAAGGTAAATCCTGTCGCATTAGCTCAATTGGTTTGCTCGCGAGTAGCTGTATCAAAACTACAAGGACATTTCGAATAATATTGATCAGAAACGAGCCTATAAGATGGATACTGTATTTTTCAGTTGAGAACTTCGGTAGTTTTTCTATACATGTGCATGCTAGATGATTTACGTATAACCGGTCTTGTATCGCCCCATTCTCGGTTTAGATTGCATTTTAATTCGGCCACTCAATTGTACAATCTGCGTTTTTGACAGTTAGTATCTCTGAAGCGTTAGCGGAATGTGGCTAAAGCAAAATGGAAGCGAAGATGTAAATAACTGAATTTACTTTGAGATTAGCAGATTCCGTCGAACAATGGGCTTGGTAATTTTGTTTGTCACACTTCGCTGGTTTGCACACATCCTCTCAATGCAAGCCTACAGCTTTCCATATGATGCGTTGTTGACTAATGGGGGTTTCGTTTAGAAGCGTTATTCTGTTGATCAGCCACCTGATATAGGTTATCAAATCGGGGGCACGATTATTTCGGCACTCAGTGGAATATCTCGACGCGGTGGTGAAATATAGCAGAAGCCCGTAGCCAGTGGGTTGTGGGCAACACGAAGGACCGGATAAGCCATCACTCAACGAACGAGAAATGATAAACAAAAACCTATGGCAGAAATCGCCAGCCACACGCACAAAAACATACAGAAGTGCACACGACGTGCAAATGGAGACCGCCTCTGCGTTGTGAATTAGGCTTCCGATTCACGAACACCAGCGCGCGCAGGACGTGAAAAAGTGTGCATTGGACAAAGAACCTCATGCTGTATAAAACGACTTTTTGCAACAATATGATGGGTTCTGGTCATGCTCAAACTGAAGCCTGTTTCAGTTAGGCGCTACCACCTCCCTAGGTGATATCTAGAAGACTATGAGCGTTTTTAGCTATGAACGCTGTCCGAATGTGACGCTCGGGTTGTGAATCTCTGTCGGCACAGACTTCATGTCTTCTTCTCTCCTCTCCACGTCATCTTCCTACTTATTTCGCATATTTCTTGATTTTCTCTTGCTCGTTTTGAAATGAATGTCACCCGTTCAAGCTAACAGTGTCACATGTATTCTTTTATCTTTTTGCTGAACTGTATGTTGTTACAAGTGCGAGTTATTAACAACCACAGTTTATGTTTCAGATACATAGTGGACGTAGTCTACGTAATTTTTTATTCGATTCTTTTTTCCATTGAGCGTAATCCTCCAGTAAGTGCACTTCAGGTGGATTGGTAAACTAGAGAAATAGGCTATCCATATTTTGAGAAAACAGGATGATAATTGCTACTGAAAGAGGAGACATCCCTGGTCGCCAGTCAGAGAGAATTCCTTTATTAAACAGAACGTGTTAGGAGTGGTTCTTACGCATGTAGTTCATTTTGACTGTGATGATATGGACCTATATCGCCCGAAATAAACTGGACTACTGGCTACAGATAAGGCAATTTTATCAGAATATTGGGAACATCCCAATCAGACAACTGACACAACGGTCAGCCTTGGATGGTTAACATCTTCACTACTAAAAGAAGGATATTCAGAAATTCACCACGGTTCTTTAAATATTCCGGACACCAGTGGTTCAATGTCTTCGTATTTCCCTTCAAAATATATAGCAAACTTGCCTCCTGCTTTAGGCATTGAAAAATGTTGCACTTATAAAGCCGAATATTGAACCGGTCTATGGCGACTATGATTGCTTTTGAACGACCATGACAGCTTTTTACCATCCAGCGCTGAACTGTTTTGCAGACAAATAGAAAAGGCTGACGAAGAACTGCAAAATAAAATTATAAACGATCAGTTGGTCAGGATACAATACTGCAATCACAGTTGAAAACAGTGAACAACATTCGCAGGAACTGTTTACTGACCATTAGGACTTATTTCCTAAAATAATTTTTAATCACCGATAATTCACAATATCAGCTTACACCGTATATCTTCCGACTACCAAGGAAAATGTGTACAGATTTCCTTATTTTGGTTTGCAAACGATGTTTCATTTCTATACAGCAACCCTTTGTATCATCTTTACATGTTTTTCAAATTGATAAAAGTGACCTTGTAATACAATACAAATTTTGTGCATGTCAGTCTGCTCTTCTTTCCGTTGCGCAGTCGTTTGACGATACTACACGGATCTATCATCCACTTTTTTAGCCCCTTTGTACCACGAACATCGTCGCATCCCAGATCGCGTTTTAGCAGTCCACGGCAACTCTGTGATATTATCCACTTCCGGATACTGGTAACTTGGAATATTGTAGTGGTCACTTCGAACGCTTTCCTGTCAGTTAAATCCTTTTGATTACCGTAACTTGTTGGAACCTTGTAAGTATTTTGTCTCATTCGTTAATTTCGTTATCACCGATAGCCTAGTGAGGTACACTAGCATTTACCTAGTCTATTCAGTAACTCATCTTGACCACTACAAATGCACTGTTTACAAGCCTCAAAACTCTTCTATTTTAAATATTGTTCAGAACTTTCGGATATAGTGACTATTTCAAGAAAAACGCCAACAGAAAAGATAATCTTGCCTTAGAAACGCTTTACATACAGAGTTATACCCTGCACTATTTGCTTCCAGTTCCTTGATTCATTTACCTCAAGTAGATCACCCCGGGGAAAGAATCACTTCCCGAATAAACTGCACACATCTTCCAGTCAAGCTCGGATTTGATCTACACCCTACTGATGAGCCCAATCCACATTTACAGTATGTTCCATAAATTGTTCCAGGTAAAAGCCCCAAAAATGACCGTTAGGATATGTAAGATATATTCTTCAAGCGTGACCTCTTGTAACTGTAAATGCGTCAAGAGTAGCGGAGATTCTGCGTCTGAATGGGGACACCTGGACATAATAAATACGTTGAGACCGTTACCGAGCGGATTGAAAGTCCTTCCGTCGGAAAACAGGAAGTACAAAACCAAGCAGGACCAACTGTTGGTACTTCTTAAAGCCACAACCAGCTGAATGACTTTGCTTTCTTTCCACTGCCATCATTAGGTTTCTGGTCATAATGTTGTTTTTCTATTCGAGAGTTCCTGGATTCTAACATTCACTTTTGGATCTCGTCTGAATCCGAACAGTTTAACGATATGCCAGCTCACATTGTGTGTTAGTCATTCTGCATGATATAACCAATAATTTTTTTTCCTTCATTTAAGTAAGTTTCAAATAAGGGCGCAGTCGACCTCGACAGATGGTACTTCTCATCATATGATAAATCTCTGATGATCACAACAGAATGTGAGCAAAGGTCACCTGACAATATGCTCCCTTTCTGGAAGTGTACGGTATATGGCAGTATTGTTGAGGGACGTTTAATTTGAAGACCTGGAGTAAGTAAAATTTCATCATTCATTATATCGTCCCTAAATCGATCAAATTTACCTGGGTATAAATTCACCCCAATAAAACTCCACCACTGAAGAAAGCTTTTGCATTCTATGGAAGGCGTTTCCCATTGATAACAAGACCATACTACCATCGTTTCCATAGTGATTTGCTCATCTGTAATATTGACCTGGTACGTTATTACCTTCGGGCAAAAGTTTATTTTACCACTCCACTGGTTAACCTCCGGCTTCTCGAACACCGATTCAAGTAATCCTGCGGCCACAAGTGTACTGCAATCAGATAAGTAGCTTCTGCTCTTTTTTAAGTAAGGTGCATCTGACAGGTTTGGACAACAGCGAGTTGTAAAAAGTGAACCACATCCTACTTTTGTTCACTGTGGATAGCATCATACGCAATTCTCCGACAGGCAGTGTACCAAAGTCCTCAACGAATTTAAGTTTTATGGTTAAGCCTGAACAGCCCAAGCTTGTTTCGATGCATGTCCTGGACTCTCTTATGTTCCAACAGAGTAAACATTTTATCTGGGGTGATAATGTTGTTCAGTTTCTCTTGTAAGTAACTTGTATAAGTTCCCTGGATAATTTCCACTTTGTGAGGTTCCCAGATGCTAGTAAGAAATTCAGATTTAAATGATTCTGAATTTTAATAACCTTATTACGGCCTTAGTATTGAGTTGAACAACTGCTGAACGCATATTCAGAAGCAGAAGATCCAAAGTACAGAGTGGCATCTGTTAACCAAAACAACTATGTAAATCAGTGAACATGCCATAATCGCACATCCAAAACAGAAGACAAGAGAACTTGATTTTTACAGTATTGCTATGGATCCGTTTGAACGTATTTTAACTGGTACGCACAAAAGTACAATTGAACCTCGGTAATAGTGCAATCCCATTATTAGCGCATAGGTTTCTTTTTATAAATTTGAGTGACGTTGAAGATTGTCAGGTCATACGTGCCTACTATTGTCATCACGCTAAAAACAGCAGATCAACAGCATACGATTGAACAGAAAGCATGTAGCAGTGGCACGAATCAAGCCAGGCAGCCGGTCAGAAACGAGTCGCTCTCAAACAAGAGGAAGCAAACTTTCCACGGAACCGATCAAGGTTCACAGAGTATTGGTTCGAAGCGGATAATAAAGCTACTCGGCTGAAAATACTTATGCGCGCTGTTTGCTGATGGAAACAATATTTCTGATTGGGGATTCCTACAGAAACTTCGCAAACGGAAACCTCATTTGATTTCGATGGATGTCTGTTTATAGTGCGATGATTATTTGCACAAAAACTTCAACTACTCATTAGTTCGTAAGTAGCTCAACACAAATAGCTTAACATAAATCTGTCAAGCTACTTATTAGTAAAATTCCTATGCTCAGCAGCGGCGTTGGTGGAGTCCAGCGTGAACTGTTCAAGAAATCCTGCCGGGGCAGTCGATCCCTTGGATTTTCTGGTGGATTCCATATGGAACAATGAGACGGGTTGGTAACCGAGTCCAAGTGTGAAATTTCCGGGCTCTTGGCATGGCTTCGTAGCTCAGTTGGTAGAGCGCTTGTGTTGAGGCATGGTGTTTCTGTTGCTGGTTCAAATCCAGCCGAAGCCCTGACTTTCCACAGTTGGGTTTCACCTAACATTGCATTTCAAACGCTTATCGGGCCACAGCGAAATTTTCGCCGAAATTCCGAAGTAAACCTCGGTGGGATTTGAGATCAAAGAAATTAGGGGTATCTATAATGAAGGCGACGGATGCTTATTAACCTGAAGTTCATACAACTTCATAAGAACTAGCATTCAACCGTGAAAAGCCGAACACAAGGAATCCGGGGTTTAAACTGTTTACTATCAGGTCAAAGCAAATATAAGGCGAATTAAAAAATGAACTAGAGTATCTGCCCGGTCCGAATCAAAATATTGATGACTCCATTTCTTACAGGCTATCTCTCGACTTTCTTAGGTAACCCAAGTAATTATTTTCATCAGTGAAATGAAACGTTCAAACTTCAAAATCTCTTCAACCTTGAAAGATTAGTAATGTTTTCCCCTCGGTATCCACACAGAAAGCTGACCTCAGTCACGAGACATCGATCTATCTGGTGCTTAGAAAAATAGAGTGCTGTTTATGACTCTTATTTCCATCAGCTGTATATCACAGTTTATTTTTTAACTTCCTCCGAATCCGCACCGACCAGACGGTGATTGGCCGAAAACACACCACAATAACTACTCTCAAAAGACAACAAGTTTAGGTTATGTTATCTCAAATCATCATGGTTCCAGTGGCGTCATGATGGTGACCTAATCGTGCCAAAACGTCGTTCCCGTATACACTGATGACATGTCTGACCTCACCCAAACTAGCTAATTGTTTTTTGTCCGTTTCGCCCTGACAATTCTGTTTCATATAAATTGTTATGTTATTAGCCTAATGACGAATAACCGAAAACGAGCTTGTTCGCTACACTGTTGTTATCTCAATAAGACAAAACGCTTGTAATAAAATACAACACGTTTCTTTCGAGCAAGGAACCAAACGATTTGATAACGATGTACTGCGAGTATTATTCGTCAAATGTAATCGCTGGAAAATCACTGTGAGGTGGTACCAGATGTAATATGATTATAGTCGTCGAATTTTTTGTATAAGTTTAAACGTGGGTATACTCTCACTACATGTGTGCGACCTCTCTCCTGTTTGCTAAACACAGTCACGCGACTCTTACTGAGTCACTTGTAGCGAATTTTGCATTCCATCTGCAACCGGAATTTGCGTTCTTTTGTGCAGTCGAGTATTTCTCCACAGAGCTTGTATTGCCTGATGGCACCGTGGTGTATTGTACCATGTGGTTTTAGCCTACGCAATAAGCGCCGAAATAACAGAAACCCAACAGCCTAGGTACGTTGATGGTGGTCTATGATAAGTTAAAGTGAACATATTGTTTGCAGCTAGAATGACGGGAATTGTAAAATACCAGAATTTTACGATTACTTACCTTGGAGTAACAGTATCAACCACAATCCCGAAGACTGCAATAAAACTGATATAATAAAACATACGAGACACCAGTCGACTGCATAAAAGAACGCTGCAAGTTGTGACTTAGCACCATAGAGTATGAGCTTTACAACAAAAGTTTATGATGATCCAGAGGACTCAATCTTGCGAGCAAAATATGCCCAGGAGAAGGTTCCTCATTTATAGCCCCAGCATCTTCTGATTAGTTTGATAATTACTTCCAATCAAGGGTAATCGGGTTCACTTATATCCGGAGAATGAAACGACCTATCGACAAACAAAGAACCTAACTAAGGTAGAACAGACAGAGCGTTTTACTAAATCCGATGATGGTGAAAACTAATGTTCGAAGAATATCTGGTAGAGATGGCTCGAATAAGCTTGCTGGTCTCCGGCTTATTGACATAATGAACATCAAACCGCCCTAGACATAAACAGACTGATTCTGTAGAGCAAAATAAAAGGATAGACCACACATGGTTATGGTGAAATTGAAACATTAGGTTCTACTAACGAATCCACCTAACCAATTCAAAAACATAAACCGTCAGCTGTTGCAGTCAATTGTGAATTCTCAGAAACCATAAAATATGCTGATTACCAAAGCTTCTGAGTGAAGCAAAACTGCGATCGTAAAACTCGCCTGAATTTTACAAAGGACTGCAGATCGTTCCAGTAAACAAAGAACATATCAAAGGGTTAATAAACGCCAAACTTTATCACGCATCAAACTAGTGAAAAAGACTGCAGACTAACTAAGGCATCCAATTGTATTGATCAGATAATTCCATATCTCTGTCCCCATGCGCACTTCATCAAGTTAAACGATCGCTAAAAAAGCTATTATCGCACGCAATAATTTGACGCATGACCAAATCGGAGGCGCAATTATTCCAACACTCGGTGGATTATCTGGACGCGGTGGTGAGATATGGTAAAAGCCCATATTGACTGGATTACGGGCAGCACGAGCGACCAGACAAACGACCGCTTAACAAAATCGGACCAACGGACGAGGAATGGCAGACAAAAAACCACGACAGAAAGCGTCGGCCACACGTAGAAAACCAGGCAGAAGAACGCAGGACGTACAAATGGAAGCCGCCACTGAGTTGTGAACTCTAATCCCTGTTCATAAACACGAGCGTTCGCATGGCGTGAAAAGATTCGGGTAACATTTTAGCAAAAAGTCGTCCAGTGAAACACGGGCTTTATTTTGAAACGCGCACCTTGCCACACCACGCGAACACTCGCGTTCATGAATCGGGATTAGAGTTCACAACTCAGTGGCGGCTTCCATTTGTACGTCCTGCGTTCTTCTGCCTGGTTTTCTACGTGTGGCCGACGCTTTCTGTCGTGGTTTTTTGTCTGCCATTCCTCGTCCGTTGGTCCGATTTTGTTAAGCGGTCGTTTGTCTGGTCGCTCGTGCTGCCCGTAATCCAGTCACTATGGGCTTTTACCATATCTCACCACCGCGTCCAGATAATCCACCGAATGTTGGAATAATTGCGCCTCCGATTTGGTCATTTATTGCATTACCACTGTCAACGTAGCCACTAAGTGATATCAGGACTTCCTATGGCTGCGTCACCAATCATCTTATGCTAATTCTTTTCAAAGTAAAACGCTGTTAAGTAGAGAAAGTAAAAACAAAAGTTTCAACAAATCCACAGGCAGTTGGTACTATATATTGTTCGGTGGATATCACCCGATCATGAGCAATTCTGTCCTGTCATCATCTCAGTCCTTCTGGTAGTATGCACTTAGTATTGTTTAATTTGGCATAAAGGACCGTTAGACTGTATAAGATAGAAACTATACTATTTCGACGCCTGTTTTCATCAGTTGAATACTATTGCATGTCATCAAGCGTTTGTGCTTTAGAGAAAACGCAATATGAAGACGGACAGAACGCAAAAGGAATGTAAAAAAATCATGTATGTTAAAGTATTGTGAGGCACGTGACTACTTCAAGTAAATATGCAAGAAGGTGGGTGTATGATTTTGCCATACCAGCGTTTACATTAATACAAGCGATGTGAAGAAAACGCATTAGAATGAATAATCTACAATATGCAGTTTATGATGGTGACTGTTCCGGACTCTCTACTTCGAGGTCCAAAACTCCCCCGTCTGCAAGTCAATCGATGGTACCTACTGCGTTTGATGATTGGGGTTCCATTTAAAATCTCAACTTAAAATTTACCGACTGTCAACCCGGCCTACATATACAGCTCAGCACATCCACTTCTCAACCGCAGGTTTTATGAAAATCTGTCTATCGACCACTTAGACAGCTTCGCTTCTAGCCGACCGGTCTCTAGTTTTCAAACACGCGTAAACTCGTTTCTTACCAAACTGCAGACAGAGTCTGGTCGATGACTCCATGATACCTCCAACTGCTGCATGTTACACTTGTTCGCAGTTTCCCAATCCTTTGGATATCATGTTGGTTTCAGTTTTATTAGAGATGTAAATTATGCACAGCTTGATGTACACACGAGCTTGTACATCTGAAGTTTGTAAATCATAAATGCGGCCTTCTTTATACTGTGACAAAAAAACTGAACTATAGGTAGCTCAGTGACTTTAGAACAGATCGCCATTGTTCACGTCCGTTTACACTGGATTTACCATGTCCACATTCTTGACTAAAGAATCCGTTTATCACCTCGTCCTATCGCTCGGTTAAGGTTTAAAGTAGGCTCACTATACAACGTCCGCTTGTCATGGGTGGTAATCAATGTGTGAATTCGCTCTAGAAGAAGGTGGCACATCTAGCGTTTTTCACAGTAAGACAGCCCGAATACCACCTTCTTTCCCTTTCTTTACGCGGTTTTGATACTGCAGGATCGTGCCACCGAATATGTAATAGAGGGAACGCTCGGGTCCATCACCACGCATTGGTAAGTTCTGTTGTAACGAGTGGTCGTGTTACAGCAGTTCATTATATTGATGCGGAAGCCAATATAAACGTATATGTGGAACCAACTCGTCAAACAATCATTTTTTTTATATTTTAGATGAGACTAAATTGTTAAAAATCAGAGATTCGGCTGGAGTCGAAACAGTGACAGAAACACCATGCCGAAAATTTTGTTACCAACTGGTAACTATAGTTATCTTAAAGTTTCATACAGTCCTCTGATAGGTCACCAACCGAAATATATTGATAGTGATTGCCGACAATTCCATGTACACCAACAGCTAACAGTGAAAACGATGTTATCTGAATAGAGTTTGGATAGGCAAGTGATGTTTGTCGCACTACTTGAATTTAAAGCAGTTATATCCTCAGATGAATTTGGAACACGCAAGTAAGATCATGTAAGGTGTACTATGCCTAAACATTTCGACCGGTCAATAAGCTCACCGATTTATGCTGAAGCCGTTATAAACCCACTCATTGTGTACAGAAGTAGATGGTAGCTAACTTATCACTGCCATGGTGTTAAGGGTTGGTATTCATGAGTCTACAATATTCCTCAGGTGGTTGTTATTACTGAGGAAACGTTTAACTTGCGCTGTTTATATAGGTTTACTTCTTTCTCTCGTTTGAAGCTTAATATTAGGCCACCTATTAGCTTCTG